TAGTTGTAGTGATAGGCTGTAGAGTAGGTAGGGCGCCTGGCGCCATTCAAGAGAGAGAGCTACATTGGGTTATGCTGTTGGTGTTGCCCGATTGGGCTTGGACATTGACTCACGATTCTTCTGTATCGTTCTCAAATGGATGGTTACTCGGTTCCATTGTGCTATCTGCTCTTGCTTTGACTACTTGGACTTCAGTGTGATTTTGCAATCTGGATTTCTGTGCTTCGTCCACATTCATGTTCCTTGCACATCTGTCAAGGGCAGACGAAGGCTTAGTCCGACAACATTGTGTTCACTCCCTCTATAAGAGACAGTGTCTGGTGGTGGGACAGGAGGACCCTGCTGCTTGACTGACAGGTCAGCTGGCTGTTGACCACAGAGCGGTTGGGCTGATCAGTCGCCTACCATTCAGGGTCTGCCAACATTCCGCAGGGTAACCTGGTCTTTTTTTTTTTAATTACAAGTGGACCTGCCGCTGCGGCGAAGGACGACGACAAAAACATTTTGTGAAACACCGCAGACTTCGGTTGGACCCCGTCTTTCCAATGTACCCCTGCCGGACACCATCCGACTTCGCAAAATGCCCCAGTAACTGCCAACTTTTCGTGGTTGCAATTGCAAAGGCCAGGGCCCAGTTTTCAGGGAGCCGCAGCTCTGAGGTGGGGGTGAGATGAAACGACGACGGAGGGCCACATCAGCCAAACCGCAACACCAAGTATTCATGGTAAAAAAAAAAAAAAAAAAAAAAAAAAGCCAAAGGCTGGTCGGGGGCGATAGCTGCTAGGGGACAGCCAGTAACATCAGGGACCGGGCCAATCCCTGTGCCTCCTCTCAGGTCCTCTCCCCTACGAACATCAGCAGACTCTGCTCAATGCCGATCAGGGGATCCAGTCGTCTATTGCGAGGTGGGGGGCCCCAAGCGTGCCCACGAAGGTGCATGAGGCCGATGGGGATTGAGCCCGCGACCTCCTCAATGCCACTTGCGAGCCTTACCAACTGAGCTAGGCCTCACTGCACTACTCTCCACATGCAGAAAAGACAAAAAAAAAATGGTGGTGTATCTGTTCATGTTCTGGCGGAAGATTCATTCTCATTTTGCACTTTTGGAGAGTAGCGAAGCGAGGCCCTGAGAGTGAATCCTCCACCAGGATATGCCCAGAATCCCCAGATACACCGCCATATTTTTTTGTCTTTTGTGCATGTGGAGAGCCGTGGAGCTAGGCCCTTGTGCACGCCGTTTCACTTTTGTCGTTTTCTGCCACCACTGTCACGCTGTGGGTTCTTTAGGGCCTGGCTCCACCACTCACGACATGTGCACATTGGGCCTCGCTGCACTACTCTCCAAATGTGCAAAATGAGACTGAATCCACCGCTAGAGCACGGACAGATACATTGCCATTTTTTTTGTCTTTTGTGCATGTGGAGAGTAGTGCAGCGAGCCCCATTGATAATGACTCTACCGCTAAAACATGGGAAGATGCAGCTGGCAGAAACGACAAAACCTGAAAAAAGCCAAAGGACGTGCAGTGTGGTGTGCCACAAAAATATGGCGGTGCATCTTCCCATGTTTGAGGGGAAGATTCGTACCAAACAAAAAAGGAAAAAAAGCAAATGTTGTGCAGTGCGGGTGGCAGCAAGGACATCGCACACCGCTATCTGCAAACCTCCACGAAACGCCGCGCCCGCTTTCCTCGCCCAAGTCCCGCGACCCTCCACACCGATTTTCGCTGGGCCCGGCGGGACGCGTCACGCTGGGCCCTTTGCTTGCTTTAGGAGTATGGAGTATAGAGAAGAGAAGAGAAGAGAAGAGAAGAGAAGAGATTATTTAAGAGAAACAGAACCTTAGGGTACTGGCTCCTTTCCATTCTGGGGAGCATCAGTCCGGTTCCTATTCCCCCGGCAAGTCATAAAGGAATACAATAGGTACTCACACACGCTCCTTCCCCTTAAACCGCTAGTACACGGCCCCAGCCTTGCAGAGAGTTTTTGTCGCCACA